TCTGCGGATCTAATTATCCATTGAAGTCTGTGTTTGTCTTGTTTGGTTGCAGAGCCAAACCAGACAGTCATGGAGGTGCAGATGACAGACTCAATAATTCCTCTGTAGAACTGAATCAGCAGTTCTTTGGGCAGTTTGAGCTTTCTGAGTTTGCGCAGAAAGAACATTCTTTGTTGAGATGATGTTTTTGATGTTAGGTGTCCATGTACTGAACAGGTATAGACTTCAGCTGCTATTTTTCCTCAGCCAAAGGGTAGATCTGTAACAGGGATGAACATTGTCTGGAGCATTGATTCTCAAGCTGTGTGATTTCAACATCTTGCGTGCGAAATTCTGGGAGTTGAAGTCCACACAGTTTAATGTTGCCAAGGTTGGGAAACACTGGTCTAGAATTTGTCTTACAATCCAGCATTCCCCAGTGAAAATGGCCTTGACGTCAGCTCCAGAAGATAAAGGTAGAGGTTAGTTAAAGTGAATTTTGAGCTGAGAAACCAGGGTTAGAATAGATTAAAAAGTTACCTTCTGTTATCTGGGTGTTTTAATGCAAAGATGATTCTGGTTCCCTGAAGCTAAGAATAAGGACATGCAATACATGGTCAGTCACTATATTTACTCCTTCTCCCTCTCTTTATTGATCTCGTTTTGTTACAAGATGGGTAGCAAATAAATTCAGTAAGTAAGTAAGTAAGTAAATAAATAAATAAACAAACAAACAAACAAATAAATAAATAAATGTTAGTTTATAGTTTAGTTGTTCATGGTATGCTAGCATTGCCCTAAAATATTTTTTCTTTCCAAGTTTTATGAACTTTCAGAGGAAGTTAATATAAGATCTGCATGCTTTAAAAAAATACATCAAAGATATATAGCACTATCGCCAGTAGATTGTTTCTTTTTAAGCATATGTAACTATAAACAGCAGATCTGAGTATGGCACCTTCCTAAATCTGAGGGCCAAATGAAAAATGGCACACTGAGTGTCAAGATTTCTTCCATTTAAAAGAGAAAAACCAAACCTTTCTTTTCTTTTCTCCTATTTGCATAATTTGAGTTGAGTAGAGTCTCCCTTGAAGATCCTTCCTATTGCTGACTTAAAGTGTCATCTACCCTTCTTTGTATTCATCCAAAATGATGCCAGCATGACATCTGCTGCTCCCATTCCAATTCCTACTTTGCTTCTATTATGCTTCTTCCAAATCACTCCCAAATAATACTGTCTTGCTTACTCATGTCCAATGTGAGATAAGCATAATGAATTGTTCTTTTGTTCTTCCTCACCAACCAGTGGGAAAACTCACCAATCCTGGCACTGGCACAGGCACAGGAATGACTGGCTGTGATTGAAGAATTCTATCCATCATTCAGTTCTGCACTTTGTTTTTTACACTCTTATCTTCATGGGTTGCAAATATGCTTTTTTCTAGAGATTCTTTTCCCATGCAGAATAAATATCAATGTTTTAGGATGAATTTTAACTGAGAAAACCACTTCAAAATTGAAGAGAGAATTTAGAAAATGTTTCTCTTATTCCACAGTCTGAAATGAACCTGGGCTCTCTTGAAGCTGCTATTCATTTTGACAAAATCCTTCTGACCTTGGCTCTTTCTGTCATGTTATCTAAAAAGAGGAATGCTTTGAGGCAGGAACATCTTGGCAGATACAAATGAATTTCCCCCCACTAAGGCTTGAATTCCATAAAACAAATCTTATAACATTAGCCCCTACCTAGAATGGTACCAGATAACCTAACTTCCTTTGCTTTGCAAAATAATAGCAGCCAATAAGTTGTTTGAGCCATCATTAATTGTGGAATTTGTAAGTTGTGAAGGAATATTTATGCTTTAGTGAGTGCTACTACTACTACTTCCTATGCTTCTGAATAAAGGCATGATGCTTTTTGCCTCAAAATTATCTTCTCCCATTACAATTTTGGGCCAGTGCATCCAAGAACATGCACTCCATCTGAGCTAAGAATATATTCATATTATTAGAAGAGAAGCAGTACTAATGGGAATAGTTCTAGCAGTTTTCTAGAGAAGCACTAAACCTGTGCCCAAAAAAGCACCAAACCTGTGACCAAAAAATTAAATTGGTTAACAGGCTGAACATTTTGGAGTGTAAGCTGAAGCATGAGAACTCACCAGGAAGTAAAAGCCAAATAACTCTGCAGGGTAGTGCCCAAAGATTGGAAGAGAAGAATACCAATGAGCACATCCTAGCCCCTGACCATGTCATAGTTACCCCATTGCAGATTGTTCCTGTAATAGGTCTGTGTTGGAAAAAGAAGCAATCTTGAAATGTGGAATGGCTAAATGCAATTTTAGGCATTCTCTGAGGTGGGCTAGGGATCAGATAAAGGTGATTTAATGAGGAGATGCCCTCCAAAGATCATAATCATAATCATAAGTTTATTTGTCAAGCATATATAAGATAAGAGGTAAAAGTATAAACATAATTTGAATACATGAAAAGAATAAGTAAAAAGGAATATTAGGACAAGGACGGTAGGCATGCTGGTGCACTTATACACACCCCTTACAGACCTCTTAGGAATGGGGTGAGGTCAACAGTAGACAGTCTAAAGTTAAAGTTTTGGGGGTTTGGGGAAGAAACTACAGAGTCAGGTAGTGCATTCCAGGCATTGACCACTCTGTTACTGAAGTCATATTTTCTGCAATCGAGTTTGGAGTGGTTTACCTTGAGTTTGTATCTATTGTGTGTTTGTGTATTGTTGTGGTTGAAGCTGAAGTAGTCATTGACAGGAAGGACATTGTGGCAGATAATTTTATGTACTATGCTTAGGTTAGGCGTAGTTCTAAATTGTCTAAGCCCAAAATTTTTAGTTCTAAGTTGTCTAAGCCCAAAATTAAGTTTAAAAAAAATGGTAGGAAGGCATCTTTGTACAAAAGATTATAAGTTATAAGGATGAGTTCTGTACTACATTCACAAGGAATTGCTACACTGAGATACCTTTAAGCACACTGGATACCAGGTGATTGTCCGTCCTCAATCTGTTTAAATTTGTGAATTAACACTGGCTACAGAAAAAGGTTCATACCATCAATGAGTAGCTAACAAAAATTTAAAAGTACAATAGGATACAAGCACGTGTTTTATGGTTGATGGTGATGTCTAAATAAACAAAGGTGTCATATTCAGACCCATTATTATATATGTACATCTATCATAGGCCACACTAAACATGCTCATCGAGGCAAGGAAAAAGAAAGAGCTACAACTACATTTGCTTTATTATTTTTACAGATCACTAGGAATCAGGCTCAGCTCGGTGGCACTTAGTTAACTAACTAACTGACAGATTGATTGACTGATTTTCCTTGAATGTATTGGGAAGCCACATTACGTTTAGATAGTTATAATTTCAGCCTTCCGTTTTATTGTGACCCCTGTTCAGAATTAGACAATGACAGTATTATAAATATTCCAGATTAACTGAAGACATTCCATCCATCTAAGAAGTCTATATGTCTGTGTTGCTTGTTAAGGCAGATCTCACACGTAGGCTGTGATAAGAAACTGGAGCCTACACTGGTTTGTTTACACTGAAAGATCTAAAGGTCAGTGACAGACAGCCTTGAATAGAATGTAACTCATTGGATTAAAGTTTTAGTCAGGAAGATAAGTTATAGCCAGTCCATAATTCTTTTTTGGCTCATAGTAAATATTAATTGATTAGTATTAATTTGCCTACTGTTGTTTTAATGAAAATTATGCATACATACACACACATATATATATAGGATACATAAGATATGGGTGTGGCCTACTGATGACAGCTAACGAGCTAGAAATGGATCTATTTAGGTCTCCCACCTAGCAGTTAAAGCTTGCTAGGTGTTAGAAAAGAAAAAAGCCCAGAACCGAGTAGATGTTATTTGGTTATTCGGGTTTTCTTACGCAGGAGAAAACCCGAATAACCAAAGACCCACATACAAACATCCGCGAAAACCTCCGAAAACATTTATACACACACACACACACACATGTGTGTGTGTGTATGTGTGTGTGTGTGTGTGTGTGTATGTGTGTGTATGTGTGTGTGTGTGTGTGTGTGTGTGTGTGTGTGTGTATGTGTGTGTGTGTGTGTGTGTGTGTGTGTATGTGTGTGTGTGTGTGTGTGTGTGTGTGTGTGTGTGTATAAATGCTCAGAAAGTGAGCCCTAACTCAGGTGTGGCTTACTGATGATGGCTAACGAGCCAGAAATAGATCTATGTAAGTCTCTCACCTGGCAGCAAGAACTTGCTGGCTGCCAGAAAGAAAAAAGCTCAGAATCGAGTGGATGTGATTCCACTGAGCTAGGACTGCAGAAAAACCTTGGTTATGTAGGAAAAACCTGGCTAGAGGAAAAACACACATAAATCCTATGAAGAAGTAAGAAAATAGATATTGTACCTTTACAGGGAGGATACATGAGATGTGAGTGTGGCTTACTGATGATGGCTAACCAGCCAGAAATAGATCTATATAAGTCTCTCACCTGGCAGCAAGAACTTGCTGGCTGCCAGAAATATATTTATTTACTGTGTGCATTTTTAGTAAATAAGTATTTTTATTTTTCACTCTCCTAAAGTCAAATCAATAGGTGATTATACAGACAACTGTGTACAATCTGTGTAAAGTAAATACAACGTAATGTAATAGTACAAGATATGCAAGCATATTTATTTTACCCAGTAAGAACAATACACATGCAAAAAATTGTCCATTTCCAGATATGGGTATAGAGTGAAATTTATGTTGATTTTGTTTGTTTATCAAATTCAGATACCACCAATCTCACTTTCAGAGTGACTCAAGGTAATAACTTGCCAATGTTTTCTTTGATATTGTTTATTTTTATTTTATTTATTTTATTTTGAATTTGTATACTACCCTTCTCCCTGAGGACTCAGGGCGGTGAACAGCCAAGTAAAAACATCAAGTACAAATATTAAAATACAGTTAAAATATACATATATAAATTGTTGCTGCAGACTTACCATTGTGCCTGATCCTATTCTCTCTGTTCTAGTTGCAATGTGAGGAATGGTGTTTGCAGGCAGTGAAGACTGCTAGAAAGGAAGGAGAGTTGTGGGTTGCACTCAGAGCTACTGGTGGGACACCAGACTAGCACTATCTCCCAGCTCTTGGCCTCCCGGCATGGTGGCTAGTCATAAAAGGACTGGATCAAAAGCCAAATGATAGCAATATAGACAGTTAGGTGCTTATCATCTTTCTAGGCACACCGTTTTTAAAAACAGATTTTCTACAGAGGACATGGAGAGGCTTGGCACAAACCCAAGGGGATGAGAATAAGGTCCCCATACCGACTGGCACAAACATTGACCAATTCATCTCTTGGTCTGGAGGAACAAATTCTGATTGGCTATCACTTCTATGACTGCCCTACAGTCTAATGAACAAGTAAACACATCTATTTCTGTAGCATTCTAATATTCTAAAAGAGTTGGAATTCCCCATTCAAGCTGTATTTTCTTGTCATTGTCAATTAGTTAAATCTTCACTATAGTCATAAACCAACATAAGGCAAATAAAATACAATCAGTAATTTTAAAAGCTGAAAAAGTATATATTCATGTACATACACACATACACATACAAACATCTTTTAAAAACCTATAAAAGGGATTAAAATATTAATTAAATAGAAAAACATAGGTTAGTATATGGCTAACTAATGTATCACAATACAAACATTCTCAAATTAAACATTAATTAAGGCTGATTTGAGGTGGGGTCATCATCTGACAGATTTTAATCTCTGCTGACATTGGCAACATTGTTTGTTATATTGGGATTAGTGTCTTCAAACAACAGTGAAGTATAAAATTGTCCTGTGCACCCTGGGTATTTAGGCAGATGAATGTTGCTGTAGGCACTGGAGGAGCACATGCACTGTTGTTTCTGTATGCCCAGAATCACTGGAATATTGCCTCTCTGAGTAAGGAATCCTCCTTGCACATGTGAAATAAAAAAAAAATTGGCCAGTGGAGAATGCTCTGCACCAGCAAACCTTACAGAAACTCTATGGAGATAAATTAGCCCATCTCTTACTCTCCTCTGTCCATGTTTGTAGGAGAAGAAAAGGCAGAGCCAGGAGGTGGAGTTAAATGTGTCATCAGTTTAGAATTGTTACGTTGCCGCAATGGTCTAAGTTCAACTCCTCTTGAATTTCATTTACTTTTATCTGGTGCCAATTTGGTATTGAATTTTGGTTGACTGGAGTTTTGTGTATAGGCTTGAGCAATAAGTCCTTTTTGAATTGCAACTTAATCTTGATCCTTTGTGCCTGACAATATTATCCATATATCTTCTGAATCATCTCCAGGTGATTCCCACTTTTCCGAACAAGAAGCAGCTCCTAGTCTAAAGGAGCACCTCTTCTTTTCCCCTGATGAATATGCCTGGAAAGAAGACTGATCAGTGAATCAACATAAGAGTCCAACATAAGAGTCCATCCCCTCTCTGCTGGAGCTCACGTGTAATTCAGTTTCATGCTTACAAACTTGCTTTTATTTTCCTTTCAGTTGTAGAGGTATGTTCTGCCAACTTATGGAGAGAGCAGGGATCAAAGGTCTTCTGGCTGGGAAAACAGTCAGGAAAAGAAATGGATGGGGAAAGAACAAAGTTATTTTAATCAAAATTTAATGTTGGGTGAAATGAATCAAATACATTTAAGATTACTTTTATGATTACACTACTTTTACAGAATAATTTTTTCTCTCCACACATGGAAAATGCAGTTCTGTCATCACTTCTGAAAGGGCTCTGGGGAGTGTTTCAGGGGGAAAGCACAGGTTGTCCCTGATTTAATAAATGGATGTAATAATTCTGAAGAAAATAGAGCGCTATTTATAATACTTCAGTTCCAAGCAGACTAAGAAGTTAAATAGAAATGCCTAAACTTCACTGATCAAAAATCAGTTCACTAATAAATCCATCTGATAAATTAATAAGAAAATTAAAGCAAAATATAATTTTCAGCCTCTTTTGCGGTGGCAGTGATGATGATGATGATGATGATGATGTTTTATTTCATTTCCCATGTAGTGAACTGATGCAGAAATTCTTCACTTAATTAAACTGGGGAAAAAACACGAATAATGTGACTGGGATGTGGCTGAATTAAATCAGACAAATTTTTTCATTACCAAGACTCAGGTGTAAATACTGCAAATATCTAATTTGGTTCTAATTTTCTAGTTAATATGCGATTCTGGGCCACTGTTTAGTTCAAAATAATATCAGAATGAACAGGCATCACTAATTGATTACACACTGAGAGCTAACTAACATCGTTGCAAAGAAAAAAAAAATAGGCAGAACAATGGCTCTTTGTTTTTGCAACAAAAATGCTGATCTAATAAATATGAAAAGGAATGTCTGGGACTTCCAGAGAAGTCGGGGGAAAGAGGAAATCTTTGTGGGAAGATTTGGCTTCCCTGAATAGTTGTGGGAGAATCATGAATATAGATGCTCTGCATACAATCACAGCACATACCAGAAAGTTATTTATTGACAATTAGACCTTCATCCACAGACTTCCTTTCAAACTAGATTTCATCAGCCAAGACTCCTGAACTCTGCTTCTATCAATATGAATTATTTTTAAAAAAACTTTTGCTTTTTTCTCACTTGAAACCCTTAAGGAATTCTTATTTTCAAACTATAATAATGGAAATCTGAAAAACTTTATCTCACATGACCTAAGAGTAGGATATTAATAGATACTATCAAGAGAAAATGAATACATAAGATGCTTGAATAGCATTTTGGCCTATTCTAGAGTTTTTGAAGGGCATATAAGAAAAATGGCCTTTTTAATTTGTGACATGACAGTGACATTTTAAAACAATGACAAGAAAATGATTGTTTTTCTTGAAAAACAATCAAGAAAAATTGAGTCGAAACATGGCAGTCATTTGAGCCATCTTAAAAAATGCAGTTATTTTAAATTTCTCATGTCCTATGGTAAATTTTTCATGATCCCAATGATTGCAATCATGTGATTGTTACCTAAGTTAAGAATGAGAAATCCCTGGATAAGGACTCAAGAGTAGCTCAAATATTTCATTCATCCAAATCACAAATTTCTTCTCAAATATTTTAACATCACAGCCCCTGCCTTCGTGCAGATTAATCCTCATCTCCAACCACCAACTAATGACAGAGAATCTTTTGCTCCAGGCTTTATTTATTTCTGCCTTCAAGTCAGTCTCTCTCCCCCCCCCAAGTTTATTTACATACACTGCTCAAAAAAATAAAGGGAACACAAGCAGAAGACATCCGAGATCTGAATGAATGAAATATCCTTATTAAATACTTTGTTCGTTACATACAGTAGTTTTGTGTTCCCTTTAGTTGTTTGAGCAGTGTATAAACTACTGTATGTAAAGAACATAGTATTTAATAAGGCTATTTCATTCATTCAAATCTCGGATGTCTTCTGCTTGTGTTCCTTTTATTTTTTTGAGCAGTATATGTTATCTTTACATACAATAAGTGCTTAGTGAACAGCGTACTGTCTGAGTGGGTTTGCTTACATAGTAATACTTTTTAGAATCCTAATTTCTACCTCTGTTATCCAACCATTGGATAAAACAAGTCCCAAGTTCAAAAATACTCTGTGTCTTCTTTTTCTTTTATCTTCAATGTTAATCTGTCCATTTCTGCACAGTCTAATATTTTTTTAATGATACCTTCTTCTGTAGGTGTTTCCTTCAAGTCAGTCTTGAGTCCTATGACATCCTGCACATGTCTCTACAGTTTGTTTGGCAAGGTTTCAGAAGTGGTTTGTCATTGCCTCCTTTCTAGGGCTGAGAGAAAGTGACTGGCTAAAGATCACCCACCTGGCTTTATGCTTAAGGTGCTTAAGAACTAGAACTCACGATCTCCTAACTTTTAACCTGGTGCCATAACCACTAGACCAAAGTGGCTCTCCTAGGATTTATGCGGAACACAAATTACATCTGGCTCCTTTCTTAGGGACAAATGGCAAAGCAAACTACTGTGAAAGATTATTATTATTATTATTATTATTATTATTATTATTATTATTATTATTTAATTAGATTTATATTGCTGCCTATTTGCCCATGGCGACTCAAGGTGGCTTACAGAATATTAAAAAAACACATTTAAAAAACAGTAAAACTCATAAAAAATCAAATAAATTAATGTAATAAAATCACCCCTGACTCTCACTTCCTGCCCCAGCGACAGCCGATCACACAAACCATTTAATAGGCTCTATCCCGCTCTGGGTTCCTCAGGCCCGCTGGCAGAATCAGGTCCTCAGCACCTTCCGGAAGAGAATTAGGGTGGGGGCCACTCTAATCTCTGCGATTAACAGTAACAGAGTTGGAAGGGACCTTGAAAGTCATCTAGACCAACCCCCTACTCATGCAGGAGACCTGTACTAGGGATTTGAACCGCTGACCTTTCTGGGGGAATGATGTTCCAGAGAGAGGGAGCCACCACGGAGAAGGCCTTTCTTCCGGGTCCCACTATGTGTATCTCCCTCGGGGATGGGACCAGCAGCATTCCCTGCTTGCCTGCTCTAATGGGTCGGGTAGATATGACCGACAAGAGGCCGTCCCTCTGATAATCTATTCCATATTCAGAGAATATGCAAAATATTGGCAAGGTGGCAAGATTCTGGCTTTCCTATTTCCTGCAGTATTTTTATTTTTTAATACCCTCTTGCCACTTATATCTTTTTTTTTCATAGTGCCTTCTGTTACTCCATCAATTGCTTTGATCACTTTCCTCTCTTCTCTATACCCCAGCTCCCCCATTTTCAAAACTGTCTTTGCCGCCAATGGTAAGATGACAGACAGATGCTTTTATTTTCCTCCACAGAACTGATGGGAAATATTTCCACTAAGTAATTGAATACGGTAATCAAATTTACAACCACTCAGGCACCAGTTTGCACAAATTAGGCCTTATTATCCCAGTGCTAATGAGTTTTTTTCCTCCCTCCTTAACATTCTTCGATATGGCGTCATCAAAATATTCAGAAATCAAATTATTTCCCCGAAATCAACTTTAGTGCACAAAAGTTATGCCCAGGTGACTTAATTCTCAGCTAGACTAAAGTAGTATTTCACATTCCTGGGAGCAGCTGGATGTTTTAGGGACATTCTTCTGAAGGCCTGGCTTCTTTTAGAAGAAAAAGATTTATTAGTACTTTGGAATTCTCAACCTAGCAAGGTCAGATTAGTGTCTTCTCAACTTTCCGACAGGGTGTGGGTAGGTATCTTTTGATTTAGACAAGTCTTTGATGCATACGTATCTTTTGACTCATGGTGTCCAGAGTAGACTGGATGCATATTGTTAAAAAAAAAAAAAGTG